CGGGAGACAGCTGCTCGGTAGGTTCCACCGATCACGTGATGATGACCACTTTCCATTCAACAACAATATAACAAGGATTGGCCCTATGCGTTAAGAGGAAGCTATACCCTCCCTGCCGGCCGGCCCGCCAGGCGCTCTCCGGGGCGCTCGGAGCGCGCTGCAGAGGTAAATGTATATCGTGATTTCTCGAATATGCGTCACCCAAAAATCTTGAAACTTGGCATGTGGTCAGTGAAAGGACCGATCTCGGATACAGTCCTTTCGAATCCATCCCAGAAGTGCCCCGGTGTCGTCTACAGCAATACTAGAGTCGGCTAGAGTAGGTCACAGCAGCTTTTGAACCGGGTCGAATTTCGGAAAAAGGACGACGTGACGCTGTAGTCCCATCCTTTCTCCACCACGTATTAAAATCTGAAGTCGATATCTTGAACGATACGACCGCTATCGTTAAAACGCCGAACATCTACACGACATATTCTTGGCGAGGCGGGCTCCTCCGGGCGCGTCTACGAGCTAATTCAGATACCGGCCCCTAAGGGTCCCCCCTCCCCGCCCCGCCTCCACCTAGCCAGTGCGTCTGGGGCCCCGGCCGGGCCAAGCTCGGCGCTGGCCTAGCCGGGGTCGCTCGCTGCAGCGCGGCAGGCGGGTGCTGGGCCGGTGTCGCACCGTACGGGGCGGGGGGAGGGGGAGGGGGCTCCGGACAAAGAGACATGTGCGGGCGAGCCCTGACTGGAGCGTAAGGGCACCGTACAAACCACCTTTACAGGTGACCAATCCTTTCGCCAAGCACATCATTGAATTTGTGAGAACGCGGCAGTTTCCGTTAAATCTAGAATGAAACTCCTACGATCATTCTGACTCTGTCTGTTATCTTTGCTCAGTGCGCATCGGCTGGGTCGCGTTTTGCTCCCTTCTGGACTTCCCCAGCGCCGCGCCCGGCCCAGTCCCCCGTTTATATTCCAACAGTTTAGAGGCACCTTTGGTGACGCTAATGAAATCAGTTGTCGCTTACAACATTTACGGAATAATAATAAAAATAACTACCTTGTAACGTGCACTTTTTGTCAGGCTACTAAGATGTCCTACTAGCTCAGTATAAACCAAACAGTGATAAAGTGGCGTGAGTTTTGACATATTTTTATAGGGTGCCAGAGGCAAATATTACCTCACCAAAAGGATCACGAATACACAATGTAGCAATGTTTATTCATAAAAACCATTACTCGAAAGAGCGACAATACGTAGCGATAACTTGCTGCTGGTCAATACAAAAGATCTAGTGAGTTACACATAAACACAAAAACGCGAGGGCGCCGTTCCGACACACTAGACAAACAAAACTTACAACTTACAAAAGTTAAACAAATCTCGTCCAGAGCGAAGACAGAACCCTGCAAGGAACAGGTACATTTAGCACACCGATGTATATACAATATTATCATATGAACAAAAAATAATAATTAAACGTCTAAAATACATGTAACAAAATTCACATAGTAATTACATCAATTATTCTTCTGTTTCTTCGTTGACTGTTTCCTCCCTTCCGCCTTTATTTCCCTAGCCTGTCGCCTCTCTTCCAGCTTTCTTTTCCTGTTTTCTTTGACCTCACGTTGTTTTTCTTCAATTTCTGCCGGAAGGGTCACTAGCTCACGAATATCTGCAACTAAGTGACGCATAGTGAACCTCGGCGAGGCTAATTCTTGTAAGAAGCATCCATAGTAGAATCTGGTAAAAAAAAAATAGATAGTTACAAAAGTGCTTGTGGAAGGGCCGTATGAGAGTAATCTGGTGTGGGCGTAAGCTCGGTACATACTCTCTCAATTTTGGTTCCATGTCACGGCTCCACTTTTCGTCATCTCTCTCAATAATTAAACATTTTTCCCAGATGACTTTAGGTGGAGCATTTTTCTCAGTTTTGAACTGGCACACAAACAAAGTGCACTTTCTGCGACCAGTCATGTGAAGTTGCCCCTGAATTTGGTAGTAGTAGTCGCTTCTTTCGTCGAGATAAAGCTGGTGGTCATCACCAAACTTCAGGTACTTGAGCTGAATAATAGAAAAGTAAGTTAGTCACACTAAAACAATTTGGTCTTTTTTGACCCTTTATTACGCAAGGTATGAACCTTATCTCCAGCGACGGCTTCCTCGGCTGATGAGAAGTCGACGCCACTCGTCGGACATTTGATCTCGAGCAGCTCGTCGTCACCTATCAGTCCGTCTGAAATTTAAAAAAAAATGTTACAAACATTTTAACAATGAAATGTTAAAACTTTTTTTTTTTTTTAATGAATGAATGGAGGAATGTTGAATATGTAAGAAAGTAGGTTTACCAGGACTGGCTGCAAGAAATGGTAGCTGCCTGTCTACCACGAGTCCGGTCTGGTTCACCGTTCGTCCGTACTTCTGCTCGAAATATCTCCGAGCACTTGCCTCCATGTCATTGCCGTGCCTCATGGCCGGAGTAGGGTTTTTTTTTGAGTGGAGCATGGTCCGAACAAGTACTTTGCAGGAGTGTCCCTTCGATCTCCTCACAACAGGGCCAAAGTTGCTGGCGGTGATACGGATTTTCCGCGCCCCAAGCCACTTGTGCCCTCCCTGGGGATACGACGAGATCTCCTGCAGGTGGCGCAAGTCTGCCTGCAGGCGGTCGGTCACTTCCTGCATCTTGGCAGGCAGGCGGGGGTCCTCCGGTAGGGGCTGCTGGGGCTTAGCGGCGGGGGGGTCGTCCACGCTCTCGTCCCTGTCCCCGGGGGCGCGCGCCTCCAGCCCGTAGGCATTGTGGCCAGCCGCATCAAAGACGCGCCGCGGCGGCGGCCCGGCTGCTCTGACCTTGGTGCGGCGCTCGCGCTGCTGCATCAGCCTCTTGGCCTTCAAGGCAGAGTGTGTGGCGGTGAACTTGCCTGTTATGAAGAAAATAAGTCGTTAGGGTTTTGCTTACGCTCATATGGTTTACAGCTGTTAGCAAAAGTAATTACCTGGACTTTGGCCATTCTGTAGTTTTTTGTGCACAATTCTTCTGAAGTCACCTGAGGTATTCATAGCCAATGTTGCCGCTGCACACCTCACATTGAACGATGCTCTGCTGGAGTAGAACACACGCTTGCCGGCGATGAACTTTGCCACCACGCTGTTGGCCACCTCACACATGTTGTTGTTCACATTCTCGATCAAGCTGTTAGCGCGGTTAGCCATTGTGTCCAGGTTGCTCATGAGCTTCGTCCACAAGCCCGACTTCTGCAGGCGGGGAACCCAATTCAACACCGCTTCATCAGGTGCCGCTTCCTCCTGCGACTGCGCGGCCGCGGGGGCCGCGGGGGCCGCCGGGGGCGCGGAAGGTCCAGCTTGGGCTCGGTTGCGGGCAGTCTGGCAGAAGTATGCTTGGCACCTACTGTGCTCGCCAAAAACATGGCATGCTGAGTTCTTGATGTCATCACTTAGTTGTTGTATGCGTACGTGCAAAGTGCCTGCAACCAAAATGTTCAATTTACAAAAACCTGAACATTTATGTGTGTGAATAGACGCAGCAACATGGTTCAAAAACACTCACCTTCTTGTCTGGCGCGGTATGTGCTTGCCTTGCTAATAGCATTGGATAGTCTCTTAGTTTTATTTTTGATAAGGGTGCGCAAGATGCGCAGCTCCTTTATCCAAAACTGCTTTTGCTTTGTATCTTTGGCATCCACCCCTTCAGGAATTGGAAAATTTGTGTTAGCACCTAGTTGCAAGCACCACGTCCTGTAGTTTCTCAAAAGATGGTTTTTGCAGTCTATTTTTTCTACAGTAAAGCCTAGGCCGTAGGGCGCCTCCTCCACCAAAGTCTTGTGCACGGTTGAATCCCTATCACCTGTAAAAAAGATGGCTGTGATAAATATAGGAGAGAGAGAGAGAGAGAGGGAGAGGGGGGGCATGGATATG